TATACATCAATAGGTAAGCGTGATCCACCATACAAACAGACTGGAAAACAAAAACCACATGATCATCTCATTGGATTGAGAAAAGCCTTTTGAGAAAATACAGCACCTTTCATAATAAAAGGCCTGGAGAGACTAAAGCATTGCCTTAGATTTTCCATTGCTGTGAAGAGACACCGTGAACAAGGCAACTCTTATAAAGGAAAACGTTTAATTCAGGTTGGTTTACTTTTTCTGAGGTTCAGTCCATTATCATTATGATAGGAAGCATGGCAGTGTCCAGGCAGGCATGGTGCAGGATGAGCTACATCTTCATCTGAAGGCTGCTAGGAGAAGACTGGCTTCCAGGAATTTAAAAGGAATGACCCAAAGCCCACCTCCATAGTGACATACTTCCTCCAACAAGGTCATACCTTCTAACAGTGCCATTCCCTGGGACAATCATGCCACATTTCACTTTCGGGTCCCCATAGGCTTGTTCAAACACATAAGTCAAGTCTATGGGAACCATACCTAGCCATAGCGTGATCCAAAATACATTTAGTCCAACTTCAAAAATCCCATAGTTTATAAGTCTCAACAGTGTTAAAAGTCCAAAGTCTCTTCTGAGATCTATCCAATCACTTAACCGCAATCCCCTCTAAAATCAAGAAGCAGATCACATACCGCCAACCTCACAGAATATACATTACCATTCTAAAATGTCACAGTGAGAAAATATGGCAAAAAATGACCAGCTGGGCAAACTCCAAACTCTGCACCTCCATGTATGATATAAGAGCTCTCTTCAGATCTCTGACTCCTTTCATCTTTGTTGACTACAACAAACTTCTTTCTCTCGGGCTGTTTCCACTCCTTTAGCAGTGTTTCTCAGCATGTATCCCACAGTGCTGATATCTCTAGCATTTTGGGGTATCCAAGAGAATGTAAATTTATACCTTCTTGGTACAATGTCTGGGATGCACACATGATCTTCTCCAAAGAGCTTGAGTCACTTCTACAGCTCTTACCTGTGTAGCACTCTAGGATCTGGTTGACTCCACTCCACTTCTGCTGCTGTTTTTGATGATCATCTCATGGTACTGGCATCTCCAAGTCTCTGGATTCTTCGGTTGCAACAAGCCTTCACCAGAAGCCTTTCAAAGGCTCTCTTTATGGTGTCAAGCCTCAACTTCTTTGCATGGCCCCTTTAGTGCGGAGCAGTCAATTTCGTCTGAGACTGTTCCTTGTCCAGTGGCCTTCCATGGCCTCTCACAATGCTAATCCTCAGCTGCTTTCCTTGACCTCTTCATGTCTTCAAAACCAGTACCACCTGGGTGATTCTGACACATCACCAAGTCCAGCTGCAACATGAAGCTATCTCTGGAACACAGCTTCTTTGTGCTCTCAGAAAACACTTCCTAGAAGATTTCACCTCAGTGATGCTGGTCCCTTCTTAATCACAGCTAATTTCTTAGCTCTAGCTCAGCAACTGTCCCAGCCGTCTGTTCTATTCTTGACTCTAAAGCTAGAGCCATGTGGTGGAAGCTGCTGACTTCTGCTGCTTCCTGGGGCTGGAGCTTGCTTTCCTTCTTCTATTACATCATCACCAGCTTCCTGTTTTCCAACTCCTTCACTGCTTAAACTTGGTTGTCCTGGAAATGCTTTATAAACTGAACTTGAACTTGGAGATTTGCGTGCCTCTCTCTCTTGAGGTCTGGGACTAAAGGCATGTAGCGCTATACCAGGACCTAAGCTTTTCTCGTCTTGGAGCTTTCTCTGTACCAGGATGGCCTTGAACTCAGAGATCTGGTCTCCTTGTTCTCCTTGAATAAAAGGTGCCACCATTCCTGGGCCTAAGATTTACATGACACAGTCCCTCAAGATGAGGTTCAAAAGTGTGTGTCATCCATGTCTGGACTGTAGTTCATTCTAGTTTAATAGTACAAATGAAAACAATAACCAAGTAATAATAACACATAACATGATAAAACTACTCCTTGTTCAACAGAAAATGCAAAACCAATGAGAATAGCTGGGTGGGATCTTGCCCCAAAGTCACCATTCCCTTAATCTGTTTATCTCCTTGAATACAGGATTTAGCTCAATTGCATTTCCTGGCACCTTTTAACTTTTTAAACCATACATTTTATATTTGTTCTCTTTTTTCCTGTTATGCTACATCAAAATGCTCTTGATGGGAGTAAAGCGCAGCACAGAGTCTAAAATGGGTTGTTTTGAGACTTCCTTTTTCGGTGCAATTTATTTGACTCTCTTTACCTCAGTTTCAGGCAGACTCTTCTGACAAGAGCAAAAGGCAGCTACATTCTTCACCAAAATATCACAAGAACAGTCTCTTGGCCACATACAAAAATTCTTCTCCTCTGAAACCTCTAGAGCCAGGCTTCCACAGTTCAAATCAACCTCGGCAACAAAGTCTTCCATATTGCTACTAAGGTAGCCCATCAAGCCCCACTTAAAGCATTAAACTGCTTTCCAAAATCAAACTCTCAAAATCCCCAGTTTTCCAAACAATAGCCTGGTCAATCATATCACAGCAATACCCTAGTCTCTTGTACCAACTTCTGCCTTAGTTAGTTTTTCCAATGCTGTGAAGAGACATCATGACCAAGGCAACTCTAACAAAGTACAACATTTAATTGGGGTTGGCTTACTCGTTCTGAGTTCCAGTCCATTATAATCATGGCAGGAAGCATGACAGGGTTCAGGCAGGCATGGTGCTGTAGGAGATGCGAGTTCTGCATCTCATTCTGAAAGCTACTAGGAGAAGACTGGCTTCCAGGCAACTAGAACGAAGGACTCAGCCCACCCTAAGTGACATACTTCCTTCATCAAGGCCACACTTCTTAATAGTGCTACTCCCTGGTTCAAGCATCTTCAAATCACCACAAGTGGCATACCTCAAATGTCAATATAAATAACTTATATCCAAGCTCATAATCAACTTCAAATTCATATTTAACTTAGCTTCATTCAAAGTTTGACTATTCTTCATTAAATGGATACCTTTTACAGAAAACTACAACCAGTAGATGAAGAGTTCTGATGTCCGGTCCCAATGCATACATCTAGAAAACATTCCCCACACCTAAGGCTCAGGAAACACTGTGGAAGATAGGCTGCAAAAGTATAAGAGCCAAAGCATAGGGAGTTTGCTGTGAGATGGTGTTTCCTGGGAATACAGAAGTTCTTTGCGTAGTGTCTCACTGGCATGACTGCCTATGCCTGATCTGATCAAGGACAATAATAGACACGCTATTGTGGATGGGAAGAAGCCCATGACTGCAGCCTAGGGTAGACCACACTAATTAGATAATTGAAAATAAATTATCTGCCATGAGTTCATACATACAAGTGACATTATACAGACTGAGCAGGTTGTGGATTTAAGAATATAATTAAGAATATAATGTGTGTGTGTGTGTATGTAATGGCATTTAGTGTAAAAGAGGCCATACATCTTAAAGAGAGCAAGGAGGGGTATATGAGTGAGGTTGGGAAAGGAAATGGATGGGGAACGGATGTAATCACACAATAACTATCAGAAATAGTTTTTAAAGTTTTGACTATTTGAAGGTAATCAGGATTACTTAGGAAAAGCATTATCTTCAGCACTTAAGATTTAATTTTCACAGTTCATGCATGATTGTTTAAAGCCTCTTTTTATTATGTTACTTTAGCTTGTCAAAAATATCTTCTACAAAAAGAAACTTTCCGATGAAAGTTGCGAGACTCATAAATTCATGGGTATAAGAATGAGTATTCGGAAGGCAGTTTGACAACATGTCATTTAACAAAACAACTGTAGCTTCTCCCTAGACCCTGTGACCACAGCAAACTTAGAATATAAATATAGAATTAAGTATAAATTTGACTTCAATTACATTTTGTTGCCTGGCTTTTGAAATATTCTAGCCCATAAATATACATTGGATTAATTAGTCTGTGTCATACAACCTTTTACTGTGTACTCTTTACTTGAGAGAAATTTATACATTCCTCCCTTAAAGGATTACAAACAAGTTTCATTTCTTCTAATGTTTTTGTAAAATCTTGATGAAATATTTATGGTTTTGAGTCATAGAAATTAAAGCATACCAGTATGTTTTGTTTTCTAGTGTCTTTTCCATCTGTACCCCAAACTGTATCTGTGTGTCAATGCAAATTTTAATTCAACTTTACTGTGCAAATTCCATCATGAATAAGTCTTGAAGTTCAACAGAAAAATTATTACAATTGTGAATGATGTTTGTCTTGTCGAAGACACGATAGGTGACTGTACTCAAGTGAAGGTAGCTTTATACCACATTTGAAAAAGTTAAATATTAAATATGCATGAAGTTATAACATGCTTCCGGCCTTTGTTAATTGAAGTACTTCATGGACAGAAGTTCAGATTTTTCCTTTGTGAAGTATACCTTCTCTTTGTTTCTAATTCTATATGGAGCTGTTGAAGTCTTGAGCCAATCAGGTTCCCTTGTTTTACCATTATTGATGGTTTTGCAAGGTCTGTTATTTATTTGCACTCCTAGAAAAACATGAGAAAAAGCCAGATACAAGAATGACTTTCAAATAAATAAGCACTATTTTTTATCACTTTTTTCCTGTGTAAAACCAGTAGTGTATTTGACTAAAGACTTCTTTTGTTCTAGCTGCAAATACACATGTAATCTAATTAAAAGCCACATGAACATAATGGGATAATTCTAGATGACATTTATTACAAGTATAGAAACTGTGTATAGAATAAAGAGTTGTATCAAAAAAGCAAAATTGTTAATTATGAAAAACTCACTAATTGTTATAATAATGAGTAACAAACTGAACACTTTCTATTCAATTTTAAACGAGGGGATTAATTAAAGAATGGGTTTCAGTTACATTTTAGGGTGACGTTTTCTTCAAATTCTTAGTAATGCTGTTTCTGGTATTTAAAACACTTTATTCCTTCTTAAGTCTAAAAAAAAATTAAAACTCTACGTACTCCCAAATGCTACTTGCAGAACATCACAGAATAACGTACTTAGACAAAGGAAGCTGGATCCTTGGGAACATCAATCAAACTGGCTACTTTAGAGTCAACTATGACCTAAGGAACTGGAGATTACTGATCGATCAGTTAATCAGGAACCATGAGGTACATCCTAGATCTGGTTATCAATTAACTGTTTTGCAGTGTGAACACCTGTCGTTTTAATGATCACAATCACCACCCTTATCCTTTCTTTTTTCCTAACTGGACTCACAGGTACTTTCTGTCAGTAACCGTGCAGCCTTGATTGATGATGCCTTCAGCCTGGCCAGGTATGTTTTGCTTGAGATCTCCACAATCAAATCCATACCTGTAAGATTTTTCACATTAATTTAAATTCTGTATTATATATTCATACTTATGTGTAGATCCCTTTCTTATGATATTTTTGTTTGTATCTGAATTATATTCAGTGCCCCAAACTCTAAGTCAATAATAGCCATAGGATATTTCCAAGCCAGCAGAAGCTTCATCAGTTTCACTGCAAGTTTAGTTAAAAACTCTGGAGATTCTTTTGATCTCTTCAATAATGAACCCTACACAATGACCATTGTTGTCACACATAACTATTGATAGAAAATACCTTCAAGTGTTAGCAATATTATTCCTCACAATACCAGAGTAATTTTTAACTTCAAACCTGTATTTGAATATTATTTATTTGTGAAAAGTTTATGCTTAGAGACAGAAAAAAATATTCCACAGTATATCAATCATGTTCTAAAAGATTCAATTGCATTAATTATTAAATGACTTTTGTAATTAGACTTATAATTATTTTTGGTTGTTCAAGACAGGGTTTCTTTGTGTAGTCCTGGCTATCCTCGAACTTGATATGTTGACCAGGCTGTCCAGTGCTCACAGAGATTCACCTGTCTCTGCTTCCTGAGTGCTCGGATTAAAGGCATGCTCCACTGAGATTGTTCTGTACTTTATCATAGTTTGCTAATTTTTTCCTAATGTATGATTTGTTTATTTATTTGTTATTTATGTTTGTGCATATGTGAACACAAGGCTTAGGTTAGCAATAGGGATCAGGTCATTTCTGAGATTTGGAACTGCCTTTCAGGTTTATGTGCCCAATCAAATCTCAATTCCTTACATATGTTAAAAATACTCCTTTCCCTGTAGATTTCAACTCATCAAATGATGACCTTACATGCAGGGCACTTGATAATTATTTTTACTGAAGCAAGACTGAATTATCAAGCAACTTAAGAGATTGTTGTTGCTGTGTATGTGTGTGTGGGGGGAGGTGTAAATAAACAATGTGCAAAAGGGAGTTCACAGGACAAATTCGAGGTACTGTTCTATTGACATAAAGGACAAAAAAGCAACATACTCTGACTTTCCCCTTCATTATTATTACAAAGCACCACAGGGACATCACTAATTTGGTACACCATGAGGTGGGACATCATGCAGCAGATAGTACTCTCTTACTCACTGAGAACATCCACAGATGTATCTACAGTGGAGGAAGAAAATTGAATCACAGAGTTGTCCTATGACCCCAACACATGAGTGCCATGGTACATGGTCAGCTGTGCTCATACATATGCCTCAGATCACAAACACCAATAAATAATAATAATAGCATATTAATTAAACCAAGCCATTAATTGATCAAAAGTGAGGGCCCTTCCATGATGTGACACCATCTTATTATGGAAAAACTTAGAAGCAGTAGAGTTGGACAAAGGTCTGTAGAGACTGTGATATGTGAAGGTAAATGTAAGATTCAGCTGTGGTTTGGTAGAAAATAATGAAGACCGGAAAAAAAAAACATAAGGTATAAAAATTATTTTACAATGAAGCTTAGAATGGTCACTAAATCATCAACAGAGTTTGATTATGATAGGTGTGATACGTAACTGAGATAGAATCAGAAAGAGAGAAACCTTGAACGCAAAGAGTAGAGTGTTAGGAGCAGCAGCAACAACAACAACAACAACAACAACAACAACAAAACTTTTGTACTAGTAATCTATTATCAAATATGCAATAGACGTAGATATCTTCCCAATTAGCATAAAATATAGATATCATTCCTTTTAATGGTAGAGTTGCTCTAGGACATCCCTCCCCCCCACACATACATACACCTGAATCTACGGATGTCCATGTTTTATATAAACTGACATCCTACTTATAAATAACCTGTGAAGAGCATTAAGTGAGCTCTAAATTCTTAGTTACCTATTACCTAATAAAATACAAATATTATACAGACAGTTGCATATGGAATAATGACCAGGAAAGTATATTTCTAAAGACTTTAAAACTTGGAAATACACAATCGTTCTTATTTATGTAAAAGATGAAACATCCCTAAAATATCATAGAATTTATATTTTCAATCGGTAGTTCATGAAATATTTCAGTAATAGAACGAAAATAAATAGAGAATAAGATTTATTCCTGCAAATGTGCTCTCTATACTTGGACCTAAGTGTTACTTCTATTTAAGTATTCAAATAAATATTTTATATCTTAAAATTCTGTTTATATAAACTTCCTTCAAACAGTGATAAATCAGGTAATCCTTGGCCTCTTTGAAAATAACAAGTAGTAGCAGAGCAGATATTCAACAAACACAAGCAGGTCATGGACAAAGCTGAGGCTTTGGCTAATGACCTCTTTAGTAAATGAATTCCGTGCTCGTGCTTGTCATGGATGTTTGATAGCAGAGACTTGGGGGTTAAGAGGGATTAAGTCACTTAGCTATGTTTGTGCAGATTCTAAATGGTGTGTGTGTGTGTGTGTGTGTGTGTGTGCAGGGATTGAATTGTTTAGTAACCCAGCAATGATACAACAGAGATCATGAATTCCAATCCAGGTGAATTTATGCACTTTATGGAATCTCTCCCTGTCAAATCTTCCTTATCTATTTGAATTATTGTTCATTCAAACTGTAAAATGAACAATAGAAATATTTAATCTCTGGCCTTCAATATAGGATTGTCTGTGTTTCCATGGATGCTAAGGATGTACTGTTGTTTCATGGTGTACTTTTCCTGATTTCTCGTTGCTCTTGCAAGATACAAAGGAGAGTATTCAGTGTCATGTTTGTGGTTATTGTTGAGGAATTTAATGTCTGGTACAGAATTATGTTTATATTTGTATAATCATAAATTTACTAAGCCAGAAGCATTCATGTCACGATTTTTGTGAAATCTATTTTAAACTTTGATGATTTTTAGCTATATAAAATATAGCCAGTGTTGTGGTACATTTTTGCAATCCCAGAATTTGAGAGGTTGAAGCAGGAGGATTACAATGAGTTTGAGGTTTGCTTGAAATACACAGTGAGTTCCAGGCCAACCTGAGATACAGAGTAATCCTGTCTCTCAAAATAAGAACAACAAAAAACAATGCAAAAGACATACACTTGCACATTCTAATGTAAATAAATTTGAACCACAAGGAAAAAAGTGTTGAGACTTAATCACACCTCATCTACCATCTACTGTTGCTTTATCATCCCCTGAGGTAAAATTTGGAATATTTGGTATATATTATATCAGACATTTTCCCTTTCTAAACCTTTATGCTGTTAAATTTTAAAACCATGAAGGAAGATTTATCCTATCCCATGAGTCATTTATAAAAATAAATTCTAGGAGTGTTCTATAATTTCTGAATCCTTATGATGCAGCCTCTGGTGAGAACCCTGGACTAATTTTCTGTTGTGCTTATCTGGAGTTGATTCTTAGACATGGAATTTGAGTCTAGAAAAGCATATATTTGGGAAAAAAGGCAAAAAATACATCACAAAGTCTTTTTCAGTCAAATTCCACTCTTAACCCAATGTAAAGTTCAATGTCCTCAAACTCCCCATTACAGCAAATGTGTAATAATTTAAAAATTGACAAACTGCTTGTTCAAACTTATTTAGAAATTATTAACTCACAGTTTGAAATGTTGTGCCTTTTGTTTCTTACACATCTAATATCTGTATCTTCCTTTCTGTGAATTATTACTTAGTAGAAGAAAGGAATTGCAAACATTAAGAATCAAGCAAAAGTATTTTTGCTTGTGTGCTTTGTATAAGTTTGAGTATTATTCCTGTTAGTAGCATCTGTTTGCAAAATTTTTTCCACCATTGCCCTAAGGTTTTGCACTTTATGGTATTTTATCATTAAAGGGCCTTTCAGTTATACATAACGTAAAATATTCTGATTTTCTATACATTATATTTTGTTTTTCCAGTATCTTCCTATTTACTTTTTCCTTAATCAGTTTGCATGTGTTGGATGAAAGGGAACTTTATTTTTTTCTTTAAAATTACTTAATTTATAAATAAGTATTTCATCATCATTTACTTAAAATATTTTTTTTCATTTGAAATATCTCTCTCTTCATAAAAATGATCATGGTCATGAATCGGTTTGATTTTGGTTACATCTTCACTATTATCTTTTATAAGTGATTAGATAGAGATTTATTTTATTATGTAAGCTTTCCACAGGTGGTGTATTCTTTACCAGTCTTAGTTCTGTTCCCTAGGTGAAGCTCTATGCCTCCGGTATCACAGATTTTGTCAACACTGTCTTCTTTCTTTTTAATTAAAGGCGTATACTGCAGAAAATTTACACAATTTCTCTATCTAAACATCCCAGTTTCATTTCTTTTCTTAATAGAGTATCTTGCAAAGTGGTTTTTGTCGGCTCTTTTCCATCTTCTGCCTAACTCCCTTGTTTTCTGTTTAAAGTTTCTTTTGTAACACAGGCGTTGATCATTTCTTCATTTAATGCAGTAAATAGCGTGATCTCGAAGAAACTGCTCTGGGAACCGACAGGATGTAACGGCTTTTCCTACTTTCATAGATACGTGTTTACATATGGTGTGCTGACCTTTCTTAATGGAGTGGGAAAAGGACAGGCTTAGAAACCTTTGCTGGAAATACCCAGTCTGGCTGGACATTAGTTATGACCTTCCAACTCAGCTTTGTTGATGACAGGAAACCCTCCTCAGTTGCCCAGGGATTTTGACAGCCTGGTCAAGGATCCTGGATCCCTCTCAATCCCTCTGTTACCCACTGCTTCGTAAATTCAGATCACACGAGTTTGTTTCTGGTATAAACACTTTTCACAACTATGCTTAGAATCTGATAGTTAGGGTTATTATTTATTTATTTATTTGCTTACTTATTTATTTAGAGATAGAATTACTTCGTGTAACAGCTCTGGCTGTCCTGGAACTCACTGTATAGATAAGGGTGACCACGAACTCACAGGTATCTACTTGCCTCTGCCTCCCCAGGATAGGA